CAATCGAGAATAACCAGCTGATTTTCCAGTCCACATCTCCATTGGTGTCTTTGGCTTAATTGCGGTTGATGGAGATCGATTTATCACATAACAGGTGGTATTGACTGTTTTTGCCCAGAATGACCTTCCTAGACCTGCAGCCTTCAACATTGCTCTTGTTCTTTCTAATAGAGTTCTGTTCATCCGCTCTGCCACTCCATTTTGTTGTGGAGTGTATGCCATTGTGAACTACCTTTTGACACCTTCATGTTTACAAAAGTTATCAAATTCATCATTGGTATATTCTCCTTCATTGTCAGTCCTTAAACACTTGATCTTCTTTTTAGATTCAAGTTTCACCCGTACTTTGAACATTTTCAATACTGTAAGCACATCTATCTTCCTTCTAATTGGATACACCCAACATATCCTGGAAAAGTCATCTATAAATGATACAAAGTATCTTGCTCCTCCCAAGGATACAACCGGTACTTACCATACATCAAAGTGAATCAGGTCTAAGATTTGCTCTTAGTTGTTGATATGCCAAAATTTAAGCTGTGCTGTTTACTTGTAACCCAATGTTCACAAAAAGGTAAAGTAACCTTTGTAAGCTTAGGGAGTAACTTATGATAAGAGAGAACCTTTAAACCTTTCTCTAACATGTTACCTAATTTTTGATGCCACATCATCGTTTTCTCTTCTACAGGACTGGCTGATGCGATTGATGTTTCTGCCTCATGATGTGTTTCTCCCATTAATGCAAATATATTTATAACTATCTTTCTTGCCTTTAAAACCATCAGCACTCCTTTGATGATTTTTATGATTTCATTATCTGTTCGGATCTTACAATCAAGGCTATCAAATTATCCTATAGATAAAAGATTCTTTTTTAAGTCTTTCACTTGTCGCACTTCTGAAAAAGTACGAATTAAACCATCATACATCTTCAATTTGATGGTGTTAATGCCAACAATCTCTAAAGCATGATTATCACCCATGAACACTTTGCCTTCAAAGATAGGTTTATATGTATGGAACCAATCTCGATTAGAAGTCCTATGCCATGTTGCTTCTGAATCCATTAGTCAAACCTTAGTGAGCTTTTCGCTATTTGTAGAGATTGTCGCTGCTTCACTATATAAATCCTCTCCATTTTTTAAGGTGCTCGCAACACATCCTTGAGATTTTGATGACTCTAAAGTATTCTCTATACCCTTTTTAAACCAACAATCCTTTTTGAAGTGTTTTTTTTTTACCACAGTTGTAGCATTTCATAGCTTTCTTACTTCTTGATTTGGACCTCTCTTGCCTTTGATTCTTGTTGGAGTCACGCTCCGTTAATCTTCCTCTTGACACCAATAACACCTCTGCTTGGTTTGAACTGTTTCTATCTCCTTTGTTTTTGCACCTATTTTCTTCTTCTAAGATAGCAGCTGCAACATCATCGAAGACTAGATAGTCTGAGAGGATATTATTTATCAAGTTGATAATGAGTTGATCATATGAATCAGGAAGACTTTGAAGTAGAAGTTTTGCACGTTCATTTTCCTCTATTTGTTGACCCAATGTAGTGAGTTATGAAAATAGAGTTCTTATTGTGTTGATGTGGTCAGTCACTAACGTGGTTTCTACTATTCGAAGGGTATAAAGTCTTTGTTTTAAGAAAATCTTATTATGCAAAGACTTGGACTCGTATAGCTTTGTTAGAGTCTCTCATATCTCTTTAGCTGTTTTCTTCTCCACCACACTCGATAATACTTCATCGGCTAATGCTAAATGTATGTTAGCAATATCATTATCATCCATCTCATTCCATTTTGCATTATCAATGATCTCTACGGGTCGATCCCTAATTGCTGCTAAGCAATTGTCTTTCCTTAATATTCTCTTGATTCTCATTTTCCACAGTGAGAAATTGTTGCCATTGTATTCACCGAGATCTATTTAGCTATCATCGTTTCACAGATCTGTAACGTATATAGAAATAGTACTGTGTGAATAATACTTTACTAAGTAAATTCCCAAGAAAGATTGGAGGGGTCACAAACGGTCCTGCTTAAAACCCAATCTCCTTAGACAGAACTTCCTAGACTGTATTTAATCACCACATTGACTTTCTATATATGTCAATAGTAACGTATGTGAACAATACCGTATGAATGAATAGCATCGTATAGGTGAATAGTGTCGCAGATGTGAATAGTATCCATAGACACGAATAACTTTTGTGTATTAACAACACCAATCAGAAGGCTTTGCTGAAACAAGCAACGAGAACTTGGTTTATAGGTTAAACAAATCTCTATACGGTCTCAAACATGCGCCGAGGTGTTGGTACAAGAGATTTGATTCCTTCATAATTAGTCTTGGGTACAACAGACTCAGTTCAGATCATTGTACATATTACAAGAGGTTTGAAGAAGATTTCATCATTTTGTTATTGTACGTGGATAACATGTTGGTGATAGGCCCCAACAAAGATCGAGTCCAAGAATTGAAGGCACAATTGACTTGGGAGTTTGATATGAAGGACTTAGGACCAGCAAACAAGATTCTAGGGATGCAAATTTACAAAGACAGAAGTAAGAGGAAGATTTAGCTTTCTCAGAAGAATTATTTGAAGAAGATCTTGCGACATTTCAACATGTAAGATTGTAAGCCAATTTCCACCCCACTTCCTATTAACTTCAAATTATCCTCAAGTATGTCTCCTAGTCATGAAGTAGAGAGGATAGAGATGTCTCGAGTACCGTATGCATCAGCAGTGGGAAGTTTAATGTTTGCCATGATATGTACAAGACCAGACATTGCACAAGCAGTGAAAACAGCTAGTCGATACATGAAAAATCCTAATAAAGAGCATTGGAACACTATTAAGAGGATCTTGAGATACATCAAGGGTATCTCAAATGCTGCATTATGTTATAGAGGATCAGAATTTACTATCAGATGTTATGTTGATTCAGATTTTACCAGTGACCTTGAGAAAAAAAGTCCATTACAAGTTATGTGTTCATAATTGCAGGAGGAGCTATGAGCTGGGTTATGGGCCAGTAGCACCAATTTGGTGCCTTTAATTTTTTACTAAGGTGTAAAAGAATAACTTCACCTTCTCCCACCATTATTGACTTAAGTGGTGGCTTCACATACATATGTTAGGGGACCTATGAACACATCATCACTGAATGACAATAAGATTTATATTATTTATATTGATGATTATACAAGAATGTGCTGAATTTATTTTTAAAAAAATTAAATTTGAGTCATTGACATCTTTTAAAAGTTTAAAGCTTGGGTTAAAACTCAAGGTGGATGCAACATACTGGTGAAAAGGTTTGACAATAAAACTGAATCCACCTCAGAAAAATTTAACAAGTTTTGTGAAGTTGCAGTAATTGAACACCTGTTGACTACACTTTACTCTCCTTAGAATAATGGTGCTGTGGAATAACAAAACAGTAATGGAGTTGACAAGAGGTTTATTAAATAGACTGTCAACAAAACCATTTAACTTTGTTTGATTTGGAAACCTTGGCTCTTGCAACGAATAATTTCTCAGTCAACAAATCTGGGAGAAGGGGGTTCGGACCAGTTTATAAGGTACTACTTAATAAACATTCAAGCAATTTCATGATGAAAACTCCTGGAACCATAGAACTAAAACAATTAAAATTATGAAAGTTTTGGAGGTTCAGAGTTCCGACAGACTGAATTTTCACTGGACAAATATATGATTTGCTTTTGGTATTGAGTGATTATTTACAGTGAACATTCAAAGATGAACAAGATAGCTGTGAAGTGGCTATATAAGAATTGAAGACCATGTTTGGTATTACGTTTTAAAAAAAGATTGATTAAATTTTGATGTGTTAATATAAAAAATAATTTATAAAATAAATTATTTTAATATTTTTATAAAAAAAAACAGAAAAATAACTATTACCACATTTTCAAATACCAAACTTCAGCACTGGAATCTAATGAAGCTTCTAGGATGCTATTCTTGTAAGGAATGTTTGGTATGTTTGACCAAAAATGAACTGTGCATAATTTCTTAATGAAATTATTTGATGTATTTTTGTACTGTACAAAAATTTTGTCCTGTTGCAGAGGATAGTTTTTATCAAACCAAAAGGAGTGTTCAATTTCCTCCGTAAGAGTTATCTTTTCTTCATTTCTTTCTTTGTTGTATGGAAATAAAGAGAGAAAATCGTTTTAGGATAAAAAACTACACCTAAAAAATCTAGGGTTTCTTCTTCTCTGCATGTAAATCTATCAGAATCCACCATAGGTAAATCAAATACTTTCTTCTTCTCTCCCCAAATTTGTTCGATAAAGTCTTAATTTGGTGAAACAGTGTAGTGAATGTTAAACGCAAAAAAGCAAAAAAAAAAATGTAAAAAAGTAAGCATATACCTGGTCAAGGAAATCAGTCAAGTTAGCCCATTAGCCACGGCAAGGCTATAAAAAAACAGAACGAGAATTAATCACTTTTCATGGGGTGCATGTGTTACCAAAAACAAAGAAATAAGACTCAGATACAAGTTAACTGAATTTCAAATAGAGATGACATGCATGTGAATTCCTCCTTGGAAACGGGATTTGCGCAGAAGCCAATTCTTGGATTTTCCGGCTCCATGAACGTGCGAATATGATTAGACTTCTTGCATTTTGGTTAAACGGAACACGGCAATTTATACCAATTTTCCATGTTGACCACTGGGTCAGGTTTCGTGTAGAATACTGGATTACATTCAGATACAAAACTTGTCTTTCTGATGACTTTTACATCGTCAGTTAACATTTATTTAAGAAATTTGACTGTGAACCTTCATTGCTCCAGGGTCAACTAATTGCAGATTAGTAAGAAATTTACCAATTTTTAAATTGAAAAGCTTTGAAAACTCTCTCATGATTGAGAGATCCCTCATTTTTTATTATTTGAACTTTGCTTTTTCCTTCTCATTATTGAAAGGATGGAGATCAGTTTCGAAGACTATAACAGAAACCGTACTGAAAATTCCTGGTTGTTGAGGAATTGACAGGTCTCTAATTTACCACACATGTTTGAGATTTCTCGCTCTCAAAATTATTTATATGAGAGAGGAGAATAGTTTACTTAAGGATTGATGCTATAACAAAGTTTTATGCAAAAATAGAAAGAAAAAAAAGATGGTGCCTGTAGATGGCATTCCCATACTGGTTTTTAGCTCCACTTTGTTGTTAATTATGACAATCTCCTCTGCAGTTGACACCATGAATACAACTGAATCTATCAGAGATAGCGAGGCCATGGTCTCAGCCGATGGAAGCTTTAAGCTGGGATTTTTTATCCCTGGCAGCTCCAAAAACCGTTATTTGGGCATCTGGTACAACAAAATATCTAACAGGAATGTAGTTTGGGTTGCCAACAGGGAAATTGTTGGGGATTTCTGACCGGTGATGTACTGATATTTGCTCATAAAAGGAGAAGCACATTGAGACACGGTATTTTACGTGGTTCGGCAAACCGCCTACATCCACGGGAGAAGCCATTGCATTATGTAGGGAGAGTACAAGATTTACAACAATAGAGGAGGAGGAATCATCCTCTTTTTGACAACTCTCAACCTCACTCTATTTCTCTCTTTTTAGTACTGCAATGGCAGCCCACTCTCTCCTACATTTCTCACATCTTTGGCTCTACTTCCTCTCTCTCATTTTGCTCTCTAACATATGCCTCTATTTATAGGCATTCATGGAGGCTATTCTTGGTTTGTTGTCAACATTTGTGGCTACTAACTCTAGCTCATTCAACAATGGTGGCCACCAACTCTAGCTCATTCAACAATGGTGGCTACCAATAGTTAATGGTTGGTGCCATCCATTTGTTGCACATGAAATGGCAACCAACCTAACAATCACCCCCTTTGCCATTCATGTAGGGCAACTATCTTCTTGCTTCTTCAACACAAGCTTGCATCTTGCAGCTCTTCTAAGCTTTCCATTCTAAGAGCATCTTTGGCCAAGTTTATAGGTACTCGCCAAACCTTTCAATCATCAGAGTAACCAAAGCACACCTTTTTCTCACACAAAAGGATCACTATAATCAGATGGTCTACCATATTACATCTGAATAATGTTAACGCTTGTCTCTGGAACAACATTCCCCTTCGAGCGTATCAACCATGCTCGATCCGGAATGATTCATCAAGCCTCACATCAAGGCTTATAACACCCCCTCAAACAGATATTTCAAGTGAGACAGTTATTATCTGAGTATCTCAATATGATCATAAGCTCACCACTCTTCCAAGAGTCTACTCATCCAGGAGTTGCGTCTGCCCTCTGTTCCACCCTAGGAACCACGTCTTACTTCTCCATGAGTCTCCCACTCTTAGTCTCAAGAGTCCAAGTAGCTTTCCACCTTTAACCATGGGGGCAACCCATAAAAGGTTGATCCATATCTGTCTTCATACTCTGAGTATTACAATGCCATTACCGAGCTCACCACCTTGACAAGAGTCAACTTGTTCCCGGAACCTGCGCATGCCCTCTGCTCCTTCATAGCAGCCGCGTCTTAATGCTCCACAAGTCATCCACTTATTGTCCAAGGCAAATATCTTCTAGCTCATTGATCTTTAACCTGGGGGCAATATCCATGAAAGTCAATCTTGCATTTGTCTCCATACTCATCATAACCACTTCATTGGCTATACACTTTTCCACTTATATCCAGCCATCACATTAGCTCTAGGGCATTCTGAAATTGGGCTCCTATCATGGCCCTCACACCTTCTTTTGAGGTGTCTCCTTCTGTCATTATGAGACGATTTGAACTTGGACTCATATCACGGTCCTCACACCTTCTCCTAAGGTGTCTTCGCCTGTCATCATGAGACGGTCTAAACTTGGACTTATATAACGGTCCTCACACCTTCTCCTGAGGTGTCTCTGTCTGTCTTCATAAGACGGTCTGAAATTGGACTCATATCATGGTCCTCACACCTTCTCCTAAGGTGTCTCCACTCATCGTCATGCGGCGGTTTATACTTGGGTTCCTTTCATGGCCCACACACCTTCTGTCTGAGGTGTCTTTGTTCGTCATAAAGCAGTCACATCCTCCTTCATCGGGGATGTCTCTAGTGACTAAGATTCTCTATCACCATGTGGACTTGGGAGAGTTCATTGCCACTAATCACATAGAAAGAGAAAGTTGCGGTATACTCCTCGCAATCCTCCACCTCGATTTCTATGTTTGGAGCTTCTACGTCTTTCATCATTACACTTGACAGCTCCACCTACTCCAACTCTCTTTGGTGTCTTCGCCTTTCATCATAGGCGGTCGCCTTTTATCATAGGCGTTTGCACCCCCTCAATTAGGTGCATCTGTAACAGCTCATCTTTCCATCCTTGCATGCATTGGAAAGGTCCTTACTTGTTGCCTTTATCAAGAGCACAAGAGACTTTTTGTTGTACAACTTTTTCATAGTCTCTCCTCTGAGCTTCATTTGGGAACTCTTCTTCTCCTTGCACCTGTTATCTCATTATAGTACCTCGTTAGATCCTCCGGGTACTCCTACACAATCTTCGTGTGCTCTCGTGCAATTTTGGTTCTCCAGATTTCTTCCTATTCCTTGCTTATGTTTGACAGCTGCTCATCCTGTCACAACATCTATCCAAGTCAAAATAGGGTGTCAATCTTTATCCCTTTGCTGTATTTCTCTTCCATTATCAGGGTCTTCATCAATTCTCCCCTCGAGAAATTACAGTCACCAAATCTAACTTTCTTGGATAAATCACCACTCCATCAAATCCTTGATCATACGGAACCCAACTGTTCCTTTGTGCCATCATCCTGCTAGTCTTCAACAGTTTCATAATAAACTGTCACATATACGAAAATAGTACCGTATGGAAAATCCTTCCACTAAGCAAGTTCTCAGGAAAGATTGGAGGGGTCACAACGGTCCCGCTTAAAACTCAATCTCCTAGCCAGAACTTCTTAAGCCATATCTATCCATCGTACTGTCTTTTCGTATATACAACCATTTGCTAGCTTTGTCGCGGCTTTCTTTTATAAGTGATCTGGGGTATCCTGGTTTTATACCTGATTTCTCAATATCTAGCGAGACTACCAGTGCTCAGATTCGTCAAGATTGGTCTTCATCAAATTTCACTCTCTACCTCAAATTGTCCACATGATCGGGTGTTTAGAGTGTCCCAATTTTTTCTTCCCTCAAGGCAATTAAAATTCCCCACATAACACTTCAACACATGTAATTAGGCAAACATGTGTGACTTCTTCTTCTTTAGCTCCATCGACCACCATGATGACCATCAGATGCCTCCTGATCGGGCAATCTCTCTTTAATAATTCATCATTGCCATTTCTAATCTCAATCTCAACGATCGGACCATACCATTGCATCCGGAACGATCAAATTAGCTGGAAACAAGTTTGAAATCATCCAAATCGCACTTCAGACGGCTAAGATTTGATCAAAACAATTCTGGCCTGATAAACGGCCCAGATTCAATCTCAGAACCGGTTGCACGTAGACTCCGCCATATAAAATCCCGTCCCTCAGCTCGGCTCCAACTCAGCTTGGATTGGCTTGGAATCTGCAAAATCTAACCTTACAGATGTGTCCGAAATGACCAAAAATGTTAGAAACGACATTGAGTTCACCCGAATCGGACTTCAGATGGCTCCGATTTAAACAATCAAACTTTGGTATCACTGGACGCTGTAGATGACGCCACGTGGCAGGAGGAATAGTCATTGCGCTACATTGGTTCAAAACCCAGGGAGCTGACGTGGCTGTGATGATGTGTCAACCACGCAGGACATATATGGTCAACTAAATCTGACGTGGCAGTCCCAGGGGGATTTTCGGGTGACGTGGCAGAGCTGAAGTGGCCGATGACATGGTAGGTAACATGGCAGTTTGACTGGTCAGAGTGCTGATGTGTCAGGTGACGTGTCTGATGACTGTGTAGAACTGCTGATGTGGTTGCTGACGTGGACAGTCACCCTGCCGGCGCGTGCGGCGGTTTCCGGCGTCCGATTTCGACGCGGTTTTCACCAGTGGCTTCGTCTCTTCCTCCTCTACACAGTGGTATGGTCAAAACACAATTTTGACAACTTTCATTTTTTAGCAAAATCAAACACCACTTTAAACCGAAAGCTCTGATACCAATTGTTGGGGATTCCTGACCGGTGATGTACTGATATTTGCTCATAGAAGGAGAAACACACTGAGACACGATATTTTACGTGGTTCGGCAAACCGCCCACATCCATGGGAGAAGCCATTGCATTATATAGGGAGAGTACAAGATTTACAGCAATAGAGGAGGAGGAATCATCCCCTTTTTGGC